ATCGTGATGTGTAACAATAAAGATAACCGTAGTATCGTTTACATAATTGTATGTTATGATTCTTTGGATAGTACTGATCACGAACAAAAATGATAACAATGTTATCTTTATCAGAATTAATTATCTTCATTCCCTGTATCACACTCCAATGATTGCCTTGGTGAGTTTCTCATGGCAAAGGGGTTTATTTTAAGCAGTTGCAAAAAATTACTTTAATTAGGCAAACGCTCAAAAACAAACAATATCAGCATTCAAACAAACGTTCATAGGGTAGCAGTGATTGTTGTCATTGGATTCAAAGTTGTATTTTTGTTTAAACTAGGTGTTAATGAATGCGAATAATATATCAAATTACGGTAAAATGTTTCAAATAATATCAAATTGTTCAGTTTTTATGATGTGAAAGTTTCAGTGTCTACATTTAGGTGAAACTATGAATTTAAAGAAACCTTTTTTAGTATATCTGTCGATTTTACTTTGCACAAAGTAAAGTATCTGATACGGATTTAGGGACCCAAATTTAATAAAAATAGGAAATGCAGTCGGGAGTCATCTGAGAGGTTGATCAATTTTACCCTATATAGATATTTTCAAATTTGAAGTTTCAAAAAATATCTTAATAAGGTAGGTGTTCCAGTAATAGTGGTGTACCTATAGTTGCGGTAGGGGAGTTGTGCCTGAATAATGAGGGAAAACAGATTTGTATATAAGAAACAATAAATTAGTCCGAAAATGACGGAAAACTTAAGATAGTTATGGTAGTGCTACTGTTATAATGGAACCCATAAGAAAGCAATGCGCGCCACTATTATAGGAATTAATGTACCTATCACAACTACTAGTACAGTGTTCCTATTAATGGAGCGCGAGTTTTTCTATAAAAAAATGTGTATAATTTATTCACAATATAATATCTTTCTAACAAAATAGAGTGTGAAAGTTATAGATGGACGAATAAAAAATGTAAGTAGAGCTATTGCTTATTTACAAAAATTGCCTTAATTCCTCCACAACTGGCTCTTAACATAAAAAATATATTAACGTTAATAAGTAATTAATTTTCCCTGAGAATGCGGTACAATTATGTTTTTACGAGATTTTTAATCAACTCAAATTGCAACCAACTTGCTTAAACTTGTTTAATTGTTGTGCAATTTGTTTCAAAAAATCAGAATAGATCATAAAAAATATATGATAGAATTGAAATGTCTGTACTCATCTTGAATGAGAGCAAAATTGGTCAAATGAAAATCACGCAACAACTGTATTAAGAGTACCGTAAAGCGGGGGGCAGTTGATAACTTTTTACCCATAAATCTGAATATTTTTCATCATCCTACAGTACTTTATTGTATAGCAAAAAAAATCCATGCTTAAAGAGCATATAGAAAATATATTTCCAATCACTTTTGCTGAAGACAGTACTTGAATTAAGTTTAAAATGAGAAAGATGTTCAATTCAGATATCACGTTGATTAATTTTGCATGACTTCTCATCTGTTAATTTTGGAAAGCTGAGTTTACCTGTGGGTAATTTCATCACTGGGTTTGCTTTCAGTATTCCCAGATGAATTCTTTCATTTTGGATTATTTTTCTTTAAAAGAAATTAAATATTTTCACAAAATTCCAGAAATTTTCAAACCAAAATCGAACAAGCAAATCGATTTTTAAAATTCTGAAACTTTTCAGGGGGTGCTTTTAGGCAGTTTTGCACCTTTTCTGACTATGTGGCTTTGCAAATTTGAATTTTTTTTTTGCAAAAATCGTCTCAGCCTGCTGTGGAAGTACTTCACAGAAAAAGAAGAGAGCAGGTGTAAAGTTTCATTAATATATTAATAATAATATAGCCATGAGTCCGAAATCTTGGAAGTATTTTCCAGCCTAAGATTTTTCAATGCAAAGCAAATTTTTGGGATAATTATTAAGAATAAGAAGTAGATGGTGGAGTAATGTTGTAGACCAGCGCTGTTCAATGTGCAGCCCGTGGCCTGACGTGGTCTTTAGATCTTTGCAATAACATCATTTTAGTCAAATTTATTTCATCATTATGAATTTCATCCCACCATGAATGAGAAAGAAACAAAATACAGCTTGAAACATGTTCATCGAAAATAGATACAGCCATTTAAAAAAGAAAGTTTTGATAGGTTGGGCCTGTTGTAGATGAATTCTGAAACGTGCTCTGAGTTAATTTTTGAATGATTTTAAGGAAATTAATGAGAATATTCTAAAGAAAACCTGTGACGTGTTGAAATGCAATTATCAATTTAATTTTGACACCGATCATTTTTCAAGATATCGTGCACAAAAAGTAGTTAATGATCCAGAAATTTAGTTGTTTTGCTTGGACATTTTTTAGTTCTCCGTTTATTAAAAATCGAATGATTCGGAGGCATAAACTCATTCAAATTTCTTAATATTGCGCATTGAAACAACATTTTTTATTTATTAGTTGTGCGCAAACGTTTATAAAACAATGGTTAAGTCATTTTGGTGTTCTTATGAGCCAAGGAATAAGAACCCCGAAGACACCAAAAAGATTTAACCTAAATCGGTAGTTTTATAAATGATTACACACAACTAATAAATGTGCCAGTCATGCGCATACGCTTATAAAACTACGGTTTTATGTTAAATCCTTTTGGTGCCTTCGGGGTATTTATTTCTTGGCTCATAAGAAATAAGTGCGTCGAAGATACCAAAAACCATAGTTTTACAAGCGTTTGCGCACAAATTAAAAATAAAAATTATCTTGCAATGCGCAATATATAAAAACAATATCTTGAACATGGATTTATTTTTTAATATGCCGCACATAGAGCTTTCTAGAGCTTCAAGTTTTCCTCGCAGATATCACCCCTCCCAGGGTGACACCTGGGATGGACCACCCCCCTCGGATATGCACCCCCTCGGATGCCAAATACCATTTTAAAAACAAATCTAGATGTTTACATATCAAACATATACCCAAACTATAGTAATTTGTTATTGATTTGATATCATAATTGCTTAATTTGCCATTGGAATGATATTGCAGGAGCAACTTTCAAATATTATTTTTTGATGTAAACTCTTAAATCGTTCTAATGTTTATCATTTTCTGATATCAAGAACATAATTTTGTATGACTGAGATGTTTATTTTAGTTTGTCCCCGCTATGAACAGGGTCTGCAAAATCATCATGTGAAGATTAACGATAATACAGTCAACTCTCCCTAACTTGATACTCTCACAAACGCGATGAAAAACACGCTGCTTTACCCACTTTTCCCACAAAAAAAAATCTAAACTTTACCTTTATAACTCAATATCCTCCCGATGGTCCCTTCAGTGTCTAATTAGGGAGAGTGAAATGTAGTCATTCTAGTGTACACTGCAGTCCGTTGTAAGTACTGCCATTTAATTTCTTGTAAGAAACATAACAGAGGATGGAAAAAATCTACACAAACATATGATGTATGGTGATTTTTAATTTTTGCTATGGCGATTCTCTTCATCCTTTACATATTGGCAAATACAAATAGAAAATTGTACTTCGGTGTCCAAATGGCCAAAAAAAATTATATGAGATTACGCCAAAAATCATACCTTTAGAAATACAATGTTTTCATAGAAGTTTCTGGGTCTTATCCCAGGATAATAGCTATTGCTTAACCCATCGTCTGTGATTAAAAAAAATACTTACGTTGTAGGGTTACGTACCCTGATCTCAGTTTTACGCCAAATTCAAATTGTTGTATCTTATTCAAATGATTTGCAACGTAAATATAGTGCTTAATTCGTTCAAATTGAGCCCAGGGTACATAAAACGTTAATGTTTCAATACAATTAATGCAAGGGATAGTTAGTCGAGATTTTAGGAGCATATGTCATCTAGTAACTATTATAGATTCCAAGAATTAAACAAATTCATTGCCAAACAAAAATGTATTAGCCTGTCAAAGTGCCTTGTGATCAAATTGACCCCAAGGTTAAAAAAAGGGTCAAATAATCCCCTTAAAAGTGATACTCTACATAACTTTGGAATAGTGACAGTAAATAACAGTAAAAATAAATTTTCAAAGACAACAACTCTACATCTCTTTTCGCAATCAAGTTATAAAGCGTTATTTGAAGTCGTTTTCTAAAAATTTGTGTGTGATGTTATAATTTCCTGGATATTTTTACAGGATGATTATAAGAGTTGTTTATCTTTCTACAGTACACCATTATAAAGAAGATTGTAGATGTTGTTAACCTAAATGATAAACCATCCCGTTTAATCTGATTAATTATGCAAAGTTTTGAAAAATCGTGTATAAATCGTTCCCTGGATCAAAATCTTTTGGAAATCACTATATTATTTGGAGTTGAAACTAAGCGAAGAGCCATTAATGCGACAGTACAAGTCAAACGCACACTTCTTTGCCTAGCCCGTACGATGTACGCGAAGATTTGAAGTATGTCTTCAAATCTACAGGCAAAAAAGTGGGCGCTTGATATGCTCATATACTGTCTGCAGCTTTGGAATAGTTCTAGCGACGTTCCATCACTACCTATATTATTTGCTAAAAGGATGTCTGATTTTGAAATAAATAAATAAAAAACTATATGTAAACCAGAGTTGTTAATCGATAACCGTCGATAACGTCAGCGTTAACGTGGTGAATTTGAAGTTAACACAGGCGTTATCGACTGTTATCAATTACCAGCCCTGATGTTAACAATAAATTACATTTCAACATTTTAAAAATCCGAACAGGCAGGTCTTTAAAAAAGAGAAGGAACAAGGACAAGATTTCTGTTGTAACGAAAAGTTATGAATTGCTGAAAGAAATACTATGTCCTAAAGCGATCCATATTAATTTAAACATACGACAATTTATAGTGAATGTTCGGCAACTTCATTCATTTTCAACACTCAATAATAAAACAAATTAAAATGTAAATATGTTAACATTATTATTTCACAAGAGTAAACAAACACAAACATCAATAATTATATCGCTAAATACTTACACTATCACCATTCTAGTAGCATAAATTGCTTCCGTATCAATTGATTACTGAGCTGTGTCCGATTTTCTGCACACTCTAAAGTTCACCAGAGTTTAATTCAATTTTAATATTTAATTGAATTTCACCATGAAACACTATTGTTTATCTGCTTTTCCACTTTGTTCGATTGAATGTTTGCTCTATATACAGCACAAATTAATTTCATTCCCGAGTCACGGCCTGCGAGTTGTTCCTATACTCCTGTTATGTTTTTGTCCGCGTTTGCTTGCAGCCGTTTCATCACTCTCCACTTATTTTGTAAACATCAAAGTCTTTTGCACGCTCATTCTTTTTCCCTTTAATTGTACCCGTCACTTTAAAATTTTGAACCACTTTCTGCTCGTAATCCACACCAACAGATCGCTCTGGAAACACGTCCGAACTGACAAACTGCGTAATGGAAACTGAATCACTAACCGAAAGCAACTTTCAACATACTCTTCCCCCGACTTGCCGAGGCCGGTCCAACACTCTCGCTCTCACCCCAGAAGAGAGCATAAAACATAAAAAAAACATCATCGTCATTACCATCATCATCATCGGCGGAGTCATCGTAGAGAGCGCACGGTACAACCAACGCAAAGCATGTAGCACAGAATGCAAAAACCCAGCAGCGAGGTAATAGACACACAAAGCGTCGTCCATAGGCTCCACCCCCAGAACCACATCGACCAATCGCGAGCTTACGTTCAGCTATCCACACTCGCTGCCGATTGGAGGAGAGTTTTCAGCTCGCTCATGTTGATTGTTGAAGTTGGAAAAATCGAACCACAGTCTCTCCCCCACATCGATTACCATCCACCAGACCCCACAAAACGAACCAATTTACAAAAGTTCCCAAAGACATGAAAATCTCAAGAATCTCTTTACGCATCCAATTTGGCTGACCTTCAAGGCTTGAAATTTGTCGCGGCAATCATAGTGCGGTGTGAATTGTCACGACCCTTGGGTCTAATGGACCTTTCCCAATGAATGCGGTCTGTGTCTGATTTGGTTTGAGCCCATCACAAGTGAGACAAGGAGGGGGGTGACATTGATAGTCAGAGACCAGCAGATTTTGTTTCTCGGAATCTTGAAAAGCAGTACGCTTTCGATTGGATTTGCCTCTTCAAATCGAATTAAAGCAATTTGGTGGTCTTTGAAGGAGCCGGTCGGCGCTGTTTTTTTTTGTCGCAAAGAAAGGTCAGAACAAAAACAATATATGATGCTGGTCAGGAAATTGGGATGATGAAAGAACATAATGCTACAATTGCTCTATTATTTCCCAAATATAGAAATCATTTGTCAAGATTTTTCTGGTACTTACAGCACAATCACGGGAATTGATTAGATTTATTGCCATTGAATCTTCCATGATTTCAATCTACTTGAGACATTTCGGAATGCTTCGTACAGGAGGGCAACATTTAATTGTCAATGACAATAATTTAGCCTATTTCATCGTGGCTATTACAGTACATCTCAACTGGTACTTTACGCCAGTCGTCAGGTTAGTGTTCTTTAAGCACTCCCACGATTGTTAATTGATAGCTTTCTAGACATTTACCGAATTTGCGTCGGGTCTTCGACACAATTAAACATTCGTATGTACCATATTTGGTTTCTTAATAGTTTTTTTTTTCTATCAGCAAATAAGGAATGAGAATAGTGTGTCATGAACGACGAAATAGTAACATTTCATAACTAAACTAATCGCTAGGATTTCCTTAAAATTATCTCCGCAATATTATAAAATTTCTCTGCAGCACACTCTGCAGATTGTCTCCAAATAAATCTTGGCATTCAATTAACAAATTCTCTTCGAATTTTTAGAAACTCTTACGAGCAGTTGCTCGTATTGATTTCCATAGCTTTCTTTAACTTCTCCTTGAATAACCCAACCCAATTTTCTACAATATTTGCAACAAAACTTTCTTCTGAATTCCCTTGCATGAGTATGATTGAGCGCCCACGGTTGCTACGCTGTTATTGCTGTAATCAACTGTAATTACACAGAGAACCAATGCTGTGAGAACGATGCCTGGGACTAGCATTTATCCTCAATGTGTAAAAACTAGTGATCTCAAACTAGACAATATCAGCACAAGCCGCGCCCGAAAGCAGGTCAAGAAAGGAATTGGTAGGAATGTGTTGACGTGACACTCGCTTTGATGGAAGCCGAGGAGTCCTCTGCAAACAGAAATTACTGGGATGTTGGGTAAGAGGGTTGCGTTTGCAGAAGGGTTCGTTTTGGTAAACTATGAGCTAAATTGATATCCTGACGATCATATAACGCGAAGGAGCTTGGGATTGAAACCACGGACTTCTGCCCAGTAAGCAAAAACGTTTGCCACTAGGCAAACTAGCAAATAAAACGATTGACAAATCTTGAATGCGGATGGGCCTGAGATTAGACTAATGATGTTCTGCTCAATAAGCAAAAATGGTCACTCTAAGGCCACCGATCTCCTCATATTACATCATACCGTTACTCGAGTTGTTGTAACCATTCAAACCCGGCACCGACAACGAACATAAGTTTCGCAAAATACACGATAAACAAGCGATTTGACCAAACATTTTTTTAATATGAAAGGACCTGGCACCGCGTTTTTCTGCTCAGTGAACAAGCCACTTAGTTCCACTTTCTAGTGACGATCTATGTTTCGATTTGCTTTTGACGCAATTTTCAGGCTAACATAACAAGTTGCATATTTCCTGAAGTTAATAAAACTGCCCTGAATCTCGATCTTCACTGAAGTTTTCCAGAAATCTATGGACCTTCGCTAGAGCTATCGTAACCAATCCTAAAATATTTTAAATCTTCCACGTAGCTCTGGACGTTCTTTAAGTTCTTGCAACTACCCTGAAGCTTTGAATATCTCTGAGGTCTTATGAACTTTTTTTTTTCAAAGTTTTTCTGATGTTTACTGATTTTTTCTTAAAATCTCCTAAGAACTCTGAGTTTTCTATAGTGCTCTGAACTTTTATAAGATTTACTATTTTTTTGTTTAATTTTCGACTTTATTTGAAGTTCGCTGAACCTAGTCGAGGTTTACGGATTTTTAAAGGTTTCCTGTGTGTCTTCATGGTTCCCTGAACTTTTCTAGAATTAATCCAGCAATAATTGATTTTCGGATGAGTCTTCGTTGAATCCACTATTTGCACTTTGGAGAATGGATTCACAACAAGCACTTTAAAAAAAAAAACATGAAATGTCAGAATGCAAATATTATGCAAGTTGCAAACAGAAAAGTGTTTTAATGACGACAATAAAATCTGTGAAGGATTAAAAAACTACAAGGGATAGCCCTATGAGGTTGTAAGCAATGGTGACGTAGATCTACGTGGTATTATATAATCAAGCTTATTTGTTAACTGCAGCAGGAGCTTGTATTTTGTTTAGGAATAGGAATATGAGCGGGGTTCTCTCTATTTATACTCTTTAGTATGACGCGCTTGACATAGATGCGGCTTCTTCCTCCTTCTATGGATGCTCATGTGGGCTGTGGCTCACTGCTTGCAGGCAGCCTTTCGTTGTGTGCTGACATTTTGAAAAATGATAAAGTCTTAATTTTAGCAGATTTGTAGAAAATATTCCTATCAATTAGCGTATTAAGAATTAAAATCCATCATCTCTGGATCAAAATCAGACCACTTTCATGCCGCGACCCCCAATGTTGCCTGAAAGTACATGGTATGTTAGATTTAAACATATCTAGATAGAGCTGGAATTAGGCGTATCAGCTTTTGCAAACAATGACTTCTCTCGATGATTTTTAGGAATTCAAGGCATGCCCACGCAAACTAACATTACCGACGGGTAGAGGAAGCCTTACCCTACATAATGGTGATGTTGATTTGCGTTAGTAAGCTTTAAATTTCAAGACATCATCGAAAGAAGTCATTGTTTACAAAAGCTGTTACGCCCTTATTCCAGCTCTATCTGGATATGAGAACTGACATTGGATTGATGACCTTGACAAATGTCCAAAAATACTCTTTTATAAATTTATGGTGGTCCTGAAAAGAAACGTTTTGCCGTTATGGTTTAGTAATGCTGAGCTATTAGGGTGTTAAACACAGATGAGGCTGGTGAGCTGTATGTTGTTTGGAATGAGCGTGACGCGCTTGGTATAGATGGCCCACAGTGACTCACGAAGAGCTACTGATTCCGATCAAGAGCGGTGCGGCTTCTTCCTCCTTCTATGTATGATCATGTGAACTGCTTGCAGGCAGCCTTTCGTTGTGTACTGGAGAACAATGTTCAACACCACGCGCCGATAACACTGCTGCTGCTGATGCCGACGACCGGACATCACCACACACGGTGATTGGAACTGAATCCGATCAGCGATTAAAGCCAGCTTTGGTAGCTAGCTGCTTGCGGGGAGCCTTTCGTTGTGAACTGGAGAACACCACCACTCACTACGCGGTGATTGAATAAACACCGTTTGGTGAGACCGTATGGAATTCAACTTTGAAATCTGTTAGGGAAATCGCCTTTTGCAGGCAAACGGTGATAATTTTAAGTATCAAAGCAACAGTTTCACATTTTTGCAATTTTCAATAGTAACATTTTGAAAAATGATTAAGTCTTAAATTTAACAGATACGTAGAAATATTTCTAATCAATTAATGATAAAATTATTGAAATTGGTCCAGGGGAGGCTGAGTTATTAACGTTCAAAATCATTCATAATTTGTTACATGTTCCATTTTCGGTTTTCACAAAGTGTACCCCCATATAGAAATTACAGAAGTAGTCCTACGTGAATATTTCATCTTGTGTTAAAATATGTAGGGGAAACGCTCCTATAGTTGCGGTACGTTAGAAGCGTTAGGTTCCTATAGTTGTGCATTACACAACTATAGGAACCTAACGCTTTTAACGTACCGTAACTATAGGAGCGTTTACCCTATTAGGTGATGAGTCAGTGGTGGAGGAAACTAAGGCAATTTATTTATTAAAAATAAATAAACGATTTACATACAATTTGTATACGCTATTCAATAGCTTTCTACCTCTATTTTGCTATACACTGTATTACATTGTAATAAAATTGCATACATTTTTAGAAAACTTATCCTCCATTAATAGGAACACTGTTCCAGTAGTTGTGGTAATTGCTAATGTTGGGCTCCTATAATAGTGGAATGCATTG